ACTTCATTAGAACATACTCAGGTTTGGCAAAGATTGAACGGTAGAAAATAAAGTTACGACGGATTTTCTATAGGACTCTTGTTGCAAGAAAATATCTTCTAGACTATGTGAAGGAGGCATTTTGTGAAAAACATGCGGGATTTGAACCCACACCCTCTTACAAACATAGACACCTTTGACCACTCAACCATCCTGACATGGTTAAAAAAATATGGTAATAGCGTATACTACCTTATCTTATGACATGAAATGATTATGTTATAATAAAATGAACGAAAACATGTCTTGCATCACAGATACATGTCATGATTTTAAACTATGAGGATCTCATGCATATGGTATGTTTCCTACATCGAGGTACTTCTATGTTATGATTAGTACGGACAAGTACCTTAAAACATTTATGTTTGTCATGGTGTTATGATATGATATTGTATACACCACAAGACTAAGCACGCTTCCCTCCCTCTGTGGTATACTTGTAGCATGAGTGTACGCTAATTGAAGGCTAGATCTAAGGGTATATATAAAAGCTCGCTTGAAAGTCCAGGTGCACATAAATGGGCCGTGTGTAGAGAAGTACTACACATCCAGTTTTATCTACACTACAATTTCTTACCAAGGCCATGAAATGATGTTTTATGATAGGTCGCAAGCACGATTGTATTTCCTAACCGCAGTAGCGGGTTCGCTTACTAGGTATTTCTTAAACTACTTAAACCATGTACTACCCTTACTTTTTAGGTCAAGGAAACACAACCTTGCATGAATGGCGACGTTGTGGTGACGGTTGCAGGACTAAAGCTAGGTTATATGCATTATACATGTTTCTTGTAACCTTTAGGATAAACAAGAGCATTGTTTATTCACTTTTTTATTTTTATTTAAATTTCGTGATGTTTATTTTTTTGGTTCTTGTGTAACGATTTTTATATGAAACCATGACATCATTTTAAAATGTTTTTAAAGAATTTTCCATATATGGTAATTAAGGAATGCATATTGTAGCGATTTTATTTCAGAAGCAAAAATAGGGTCGTTACAGTTCATGTCCTTGGGTAGCACCCTAAGGTAATGCATACTTATAACATATGGCTCTAAAGCATGTATTCATATAATCCTTATGAGCATAAGTAATTCATAACATCGTACATGTCATAAAACTTTTGAGTTCGTGGAAACTTCATGAATTCTTGTGAGGAGGTTATTACAAGTATTTCCATCTTTTACTACTTGAGTCTTGGTTCATACCCTCAAACATGTTCTTGTCAGGAGGTCCTTATAATATTTTATGTTTTCATGTTCTTTTAAGTCTTGGTAATCGTTTGTTTGGCTCTTTTCTTGGTACATACCTTTGGAGTATTTTCCTAGTCTTATAGTTTATTGGATTCTTATTTCAAAGGTTAATCTTAGAGCACAACTACACATAAGCCTTATCATAATTTCTTAACCCTAATTCAAGCTCATAGATCATGCATACATGAACTTATCGTAATAGCTTGTTTAAGTATATATAATAATCATAACATGTTTCTTGAGGTACTTCGGCAAATCATAGATCTGTATTAAGCGCCTTTAGAGGTAGTTTAGTAATTTCAACTATATTTTATTGCCCTTAGAAACTTACATAATTATCCTTAAGGTCGTACATAACGGGTTCATAACATTTGGAGTATTTTAAGGCCTTGAAAATTCTTTAGAATCCTTAAATGAAGGGTCATTTTGGTCATTTATCACACATTTCTTAGTTTAAATTCTTAAGGTATTTCAAATTTTTTAAACTTTTGAATAAAACTTCATGTACATATATATAGGACTTAATTAAAACTTTAAGTCATTTGGAGGCCATTGAACATTGACACTTTTGGTTAGCCTAATGGCATTTTGGTCATTTTTTCTTTAGTCCTGGTTCAGCCCATAAATGTGTTCTAATGACTTTAAAATCTTGTGTAACCTCTTATATCCTTTTAAGTGTATAAAATTTTAGATCATTTGGAGTTCATTTGGTCTCAATGCTTAGGCATGTAGGAAAATTTTTGTCATTTTACACTTATTCTTGGTTCAATCCCTAAAAAAATTCTAATGACTACCGAACTTCATACGTGGTCTAAACATGTCACCTTAACCCTTCTATTAAAACCACAGGTCATTTAAAGGTTATATAGGTTATGAATTTGCTTTACATTACTATAGGGACATTAGGGTCATGGTATACAATTACCTGTTTTAGCTACTTAACCTTATCCAATGAGTACAAACTTTCATGTATATGTTTTACCTGTCATATGCCCAACATTAAAATAAAATTTCATGTATATGTTTTACACGTCATATTATGACAACATTAAAATTTTATTTGCAGCATAGTCCATTAATTGGGTTATTTTACCATTACTTGACTCTAGAGGAAAACCCAAAACGCTATGTTTGGTATTATGGTTATTAGTATTTTTCTTTTATGACCCTTTAAATATACGTTAATATATGGTTTATATTTATTTTCAAGCAATCTATATAAGTATTTTTTAAGAAAAATTCAAATTGGCTACTTAACTCTTAGTTGATGCTCAAGATCTCGGTTCTAAATTTTCGGGTATCTAGTTTACTCTAAATTTTCTTTGATAGCTTTCTTCGAGAGTCTAACTTTTAGAACCATAAAAAATTTGATCAGAGCATGTCTTGATAAAGGGATAAAATTTAGGTTGAAAGTTAGAATAAGAGGGAGTTGAAATTTAGGCTGACGTGGCCGGTTTGGTTGAACCAACCATGTCATCATCTTCTTCTTCAAAAATGATAAGGACGCAGGCCGTGTATTCCTCCGTCGTTTTATACTCGACCTTTTCAGGTTATTCTAGAGCATTTTTCCTCTTCATTTCTTCATGAAACTCGGTAATGTTATATTAAGGAACAACTACGATATATCTTACCTTTTCGTGTGATGTAGCTCGAGTTATAACTCGTCAAAATTTGGTAAAAATATGTTTTCACGCTAGTGTAAACCCACAAGAATTTCTTATTCGTTAAGTTGATTGAGACCTTTTTAAGACATGACTTCTTCACAAAAATTCTTCCTTATACTTCCCTCAGGCTTAAGAAATTATTTTGGAGGAATGAATTTGTGTGATCGTGGCTGATTTTGGAGTCGATTTGGAAGTCAACCAAAGAGCAAAAACTCAACCCTCTTCCTCAGCTCCCTCTAGTCCTTATTAGGTGACTCTTTAAAAAATGTTAAACTTAATTCATTAAAACTAATGAAATGCTTAATTTTTGTATAGAGGGACTATAGGTAGGAAATTTAAACTTACCCTCAAATCTTACCCGAATATATTTTTCTTCAATTGGACATGCTTCTAAGCTAGTTGGCGTTGAGGTCTTTTATGAAAAATGCTTCTTGATGGTACAAAAATTGAATGTGATTGGTTAGACAAGATGAATTCATGTATAACCTCAAAGTTCCATCTAAGCTTTTAAACTTATATAATGGCACATGGAATTTGTTAGGATTAGATTAGATTTGGTTATTTGGATTAGATTAGATTTGGTTATTTGAATTAGATTTAGTCATAGTAGATTTAGTCGATTTGATTATGTATCGCTATATAATAGCCAATTTTATTGTTAATAGGATGAAAGATTTCTCCCCATTCCTAACATTTGGTATCAGAGCCTAATTGGACGTGAAGGAGAAATACACAAATTGAGTGTTTGAGAGGAAAAACACTGAACAAATGGCAAGTGATTCAGGAAGCTTTGCTACAACATGTGTTCCTAAATTCGATGGAGACTACGAGCATTGGAGTTTGGTCATGGAAAATCTTTTGCGTTCCAAGGAATATTGGAGCACTATTCAACTTGGTTTTGAGGAAGCAAAAGGAAACAAACCACTAAGTGCAGCCCAGCAAAAGGAAATCAACGAAGTAAGGCTCAAAGATCTCAAAGTAAAGAATTATCTCTTTCAATCCATTGATAAGAGTATTATGAAAACTATCATTCAAAATGATACTTCCAAGCAATTGTGGAACTCAATGAAACTCAAGTATCAAGAAAATGCTAGAGTGAAGCGAGCCCAGCTATAACGACTTCGCAGAACATTTGAAACTTTAGAGATGAAAGCAGGAGAAGGTGTTTCTGAGTATTTTTCAAGAGTTATGTTTACTGCTAATGACATGAGGAATTGCGGAGAAGATATGTCGGATGTCAAAATTGTTGAGAAAATACTTCAAAGTCTTAGCGATAAATTCAACTTCGTAGTATACTCAATTGAAGAATCCAAAGACATTGACCAATTAACCGTCGATGAATTACAGGCATCTTTGCTTGTACATGAACAAAAGGTGATTGATAAGAGTGAAGAGTAGGTTCTGCAGGTGGAGAATGTACTAAGGTATGGACAAGGAAGAGACAGAGGGACATTATAGAGAGGAAGAGGTTACACTATAGGACGGGGAAGAGGTAGATCTTTTGTGAACCGGTCAGCCATCAACTGTTTTCGATGTGGAAAACAAGGACATTATAAATTTGAATGTCTGGGGTTAGAAAAAATCAACTGTTTTCGATGTGGAAAGCAAGGACATTACCAATTTGAATGTTTGGGCTTAGAAAAAGAAGCTGCCAATTATGCTAAATTTTAAGAGGAAAAATTGCTAGGATGGCATACACAAAGAAAAGTAAAGTTGAAAAAGAAGGCATTTGGTTTCTCGATTCCGGATGCTCAAATCATATGACTGGGGACAAAACATGGTTCGTTAAGGTTGATGAAAGTTTCAAACACACTGTCACGTTGGGAAATAGCTCAAAATTGGTAGTTGAAGGAAGAGAGTGTCAGATTCGAAGTTGAAGGTATCACACAAACCGTGACAAATGTCTACTATGTCCCCAATCTCACAAACAATTTGCTAAGCATAGGGCAAATATAGGAGAAGCGCTTGGTGATCTTAATCAAAGAAGGAACATGCAGAATCTATCATCAACAAAGGGGCCTAATAATGAATACACAAATGATGGCGAATAACATGTTCTCAGTTCATGCAAAGATGAAGCCATTGGTTGACAAATGTTTGAAAATAGAAGATGAAGACTTGGAGGTCCAGAATATGGCGACAGAGGTAGCAGAAGCAGAGGAGATAAAAGAGAAGGAGGTCACCTGTGACAGCAAAAAGAAGTTAGAAGAAGATGCAATTAGGAGGATGGAAGAATTGATTCAAAAGAATGTTGGAGAAAGGCTAAACTCTAAAGAGACTAAATTCGAAATACAGAGGCGAATAGAGGAAGAACGCAAGAAATTGTATGATGATGTTGATGTGCAGCTTGAGAAAGTGAAAAAAGCCGCTCTTACTGCTACAAAACAAAAAGAAGAACAAGCATGGAAAGAAATAGAAGAGCTAGATAAAATGCTGAAAGAGAATAGAAGAATGGTAGAAAAAGCTAAGTGACGATTAGCTCTGGAGCAGCAGCGAAAGGAAGAAGAACTATATCGTGAGCTCGAGTTGATTCAGAGACAAAAAGAGGAGGCAGCTTGGAGAACTAAGCTAGATGATAAAAGTTTGAGTTATGTTTTGTTGGGAGTCAGTGAAGAATCAAAAGCTTCCAGACTAATGATATAGAAGCGGCAGAAGCGACAGATGAAAATATTGTAGAGGAAAATATTTCCTCTGGCTCTTTGGTTGAAGCAAGCTCTCCTAGCTCAAATAAGGCGAGGAATAACACACCACCAGTCTGGATGAGAGACTTTGCAATAGGAGAAGATATTTGTGAAGAAGATGATGAAGCAATCTGAATGAGAGACTATGCAATAGGAGAAGTTTTTTTGTAAAGAAGATGATGAAGCTCACTCGACCATGTTTACCACTATTGAACCTGTAAACTTTGAAGACGCATTGAAGAGTGAGAAATGGAGGCAAGTCATGGATTTGGAGCAATAAATAGAAATGACACATGGAAATTGATGAAGTTACCTCACGGTGGAAGTCAGTTATGAGGTAGTAGATATAAACTTATTACTATTTGTGTTGAGTTTAAGGGAGAGATTGTTAGGATTAGATTAGATTTGGTTATTTGGATTAGACTTAGTCATAGTAGATTTAGTGATTTGATTATGTAATGCTATATAATAGCCAATTTTATTCTTGAATAGGATGAGAGATTTCTCCACCATTCCTAACCCATATAAGTTAGGAACATTTTCAACAATTGGTTTTTGTGGACAATACTTTTTAGAAGGTGTAGAAACAAGTTTGAAGTAAAATGGTGAATTACAACTCTCAAATTTAGAAGTTCAAGGAAGAGATACCTAAAATATAAATGTTGATTTTTCACGGTTAAAGGCTCGACACTGCTTGATTATTGCTCCTAATGACTACCCTTACTTCATCATTCATAGAAGAAGCTTAAACTAACCTTAAAATGTAAAGAACGACCATTTATTGGAAATAAAATTTTCTAAAATTTTTGTTGAAAATATTTTCTCTAATAAGATGCTCATCAACTTTCATTTTGAATGGAAGTGGTTGGATTTTTTAGGTATGTGTCTTCTAGAGCCTATCCAAGTTTGGAATAATCCAACGACCAGAATTAAAGATATACTCAATTTTGTATAGATGGTTCATACGGTCATTTTCTTATTCAATTGCATTTGTGTAAATATTTCAAACTTTAAAAGAATTTTGATAATTTGTCACTTTTTTATTTTTTATTACTTTTTCCAAAAATCAAAACTTCTTCTAAATTTTTTTTTTTTTTTTTTTTTTTTTTTTTTTTTTTTTTTTT